GTGCTGGGGGATTGAACCGCGGTCCCTGTGCTTTGCCAAGCTTGTTTCAAGTAGGTGCTTTAGACCACTGAGCCATCTCTCCAGCCCAAGTCAACAGTTTTTAGTAGGCACAAGTTAAGTTCCCAGGAGGAGCAAAGAAATAGCTTTTTAAGTAGGCTGTTATGTTTTATAAGTCAACATACAAAGTACACAAGTCTTTGCAAAAGGAAATTGAGAAGGATGAAAGGTGATAGATGGGTTAAACAAAATTTATTCTAGGTCAACCCAGCTATTCCCCCAGAAGAAAAGAAAATGTCATACCATAGCAATATATGTGCACCCATGTTTATAGCAGCGCAGTTTGTAATAGGTCGATCTTGGGAACAATACAAATGTCTATCGACCAAGGAATGGATAAAAAAGATGTGGTATTTTTGTACAGTGGAGTACTTCTCAGCCATAAAGAAAGATAAACTTAAGGTTTTTACAGGTAAATGGATGCCACTGGAGACCATACTCATAAGTGAAATAAATCAGAACCTGCATGTATAAGCATCACATTGTCTCCGTAGTATAAGAAACTGAAAGAATAAATAGGATCCAAAAGGTACAATAGATATTGTGAAAGGGAAAGAAACTGCTCAAAAAGAAAAAAACAACTGGGATGAAGAAAAAAGAAAAGGAAGGGGAAAAAAAAAAAAAATATATATATATGCATACACATACACACAATAGCTAACAAAATTTTACTACTAATTTTAGTTCATTGAAAGAAACAGTGTTTATATTTGATCAATTTTGCATGCCTCTATCTGGTAATCTGAGCAACTACTTTGAAGATAACAATATGCAACATAATAACCATTATTTCCTAGTATCTTGTTTTGAAATTCTGTATCGTTTTTATTGTTTTTTCTTCTCTATCTAAAATTTTCAAAAATTAAAAAATTTATTCTAGGGTCTAACATGAGAGTGAAGGGCCTTAAATGTGGAATTAGGTGTTTCCTGAAGAACTGGAAAAGTTTAAAGGTAAAAAACTAGAAATCCAAAAAACAGAATGGATATTTAGCTTTCTAGAGTTGGAAAAAAAATTATTAAATACATAGCTTCTCTTTTTTTTTTTCAGTATATGCACAGTGAAGTATCAAAATATGTTACTACCTTGAAAAAAAATACTGAATTCTTAGAATTTTAGAACTGACTACTGGAGTCAGAGATTTCTTGTTTTTGTTTGTTTGTTGGTGGAACTGTGGATTGAACTCAGGCCCTTGCGCTTGCCAGGCAAGTACTTATTCTACTGAGCTATTCTTCCCGGCCCTGGATTTCTTGTTTTGATGAGATTTAGGTAACAGTTTTTAAGATACTGGCCATGCCTTAAACACTGTGTAAGTGACCTTGGATTGTTTCTTAACTTTTGAACCCAAGTTTCCTAATTAGTTGAGTGTGTTGAAAACATGTATAGTATGCTACCTGATCCACATTCTTTGCTTATTTCTGAGAATATATTAGATTATAAACTCCATGAAGGGAAGGACCATTTCTTTTTTATCTCTTGCTATTTGCCAGGCACCTAGCAAAACTATCTTGTGTACATTTGCTGTGTTACATAGCTTTAGGGAATGCCATTTATATAATCCTCATGTAAATGGTATCCCAGGAGCTGGCAACACTGTGCTCTGCCCTGGAACAGAATAGAATTCAGTAAATATCTGTTGAATGAGATAATACTTATTGAGGGATATGTTTGATTTAGGAAATTGAAGTAATTTCCTACGGGAACAGTTAAAAAAACACTTATTTAAAAACTGATCAATAATAGCTGATTAATATTTCTTTAAATTAGAAAAGGATAAATAGAAAGGAGATGGTGGGCATGGTGGCACATGCCAATAATCCCAGCACTTGGGAGGCTGGGGCAGGAGGAGCTCCATGAATGAGGCCAGTCTGGGCTATATAGTAAGCTCAAGGCAGGCCTGGACTACAGTTAGACCTTGTCTCAAAAGATCCAAGAAAAAAAAAGTGAGCAGCGGGAGATAAGGGCGGGTAATATTAGGTTTAAAAATTGGAAACATCCCAAAACCTATATAGGAGACACTGAGAACATCTTATCAGATTCAACCTGGTCTTTCTCAGTAAAAAGTAGCTGTTAACTCCTATTTTCATTCTCATAACTTTTTTATGTGTGTGGCTGGCTTAGCCTGCCCTGGGGGGCAGGGCTGGCCAGGGATTGAACCGCGGTCCCTGCACTTGCCTAAGCAGGCACTTTAGACCACTGTGCTATCATGCTGGCCCCAAGTATCATAACTTTTTTAAGGTCCTGTTTGGGTGTTATATGCAGGATGTCCATGCTTCCAAGCTTCTTTCTCACATCATTATTAGAGCAGAAAGTTGAGCATCTATCTCAGTCCTGATGTACCTTATCAACTAAGAGTACCCTAATGTATGCTCTCTGTGTGCTTTTTCTTTGGTCAGTTGATGAACAAAGGTAGTTGACCCATCTTTAGGATCATTCCCTACCCCTATCACCTTTCAGTTTAGGGAAAGCTGTTGTGTTCATAGGGTAGATTTGATTTGGAGAGCAGTTTAGTGAACCAGGCTGAGAAAATGCTAACCACAGAAGGGCCTTGTTTTCTTCCGTTTGGGAGTAATTATACATAGCATTTTTTAATTCAACTTACGTAGTATTTGTATGCCTACTATGTGCTGATAACTAATCCTGATACTAAGGGCATAGCATAGAACAAGACAGGCAGAGAATCATGAAATGAACGATATTTTGAGGGAGTGATGATATGGACATAGAAAAACAAAAACATTGATGTTTTAGAGTGGGATCTCTTCTCACAGTGTGATTAAAGAGAGCTTCTGGAAGTGACATTTGAGATATTCATGCAAAATAGGAACAACTATTAAATAGAGCCTAAGGTAAAAATAACCTTGGCATCTTAATAGAGTGAAAGCCAGTATGGTTAGAACAGTGAGCAAAGGGAGGAGTGGTACCCAAATAAGATCAGAGTGGTGTGCAGGTTCCTGTCAGATATGTCCTATAAGCCTTAGGAGAGAGTTAGTATTTTATTTTGATAGGTGCCCATTGAAGAGTTTTAAGCCAAGGAATGATATATTCCAAAATACATTTTATTAAGATTCTCTTTAAAAATTGGTTGGAGGGGCCGGGGAGATGGCTCAGGGGAATAAGCGCTTCCCTGGTAAGCACATAGACCTGAGTTCAATCCCTGGTTCCGCCAAAAAAAAACCCTAAAAATTGGTTGGAGTGAAGAATGGATTTATAAAGGCTGGTGACAGGGCAGAGCTGAGTTTGGTGAGTATGGCAGTGAGAAGATAGCTTCCTTTTATTGGATGATTTCTTTCTTTTGTTGGTTGAATTTCTTTTTCCAAATGTAAAATTCATAGGATATGTAAAGAGTTGGGTGGGAGCTAATAGTGAAGGAAATCAAAGATGATTTACAGATTTTATATGTAAATGGGTTGCTGCTGGTGCTATAACAACTGAAAAGTGGGGAAAAGATTTGGTGGAGAGAAAGAGCTTTTGAGGTAGCAAGTAGATATTTCAGGGGGTGATGTCAGGTAGGAACGTAAATAATTTTTTTTTGTTGTTGTTCCAAGAATCAGACTTAGGACTTTGAGCTTGCTAGGCAGGTCCTGTGCCATGGAGCTATATCCCTGTACATGAAACAGTCTTAAGCTCCATAAACTTATTTCCTGGAGACACAAATTTGGAGGTTATCATCATATACATGATATTTAGTGTTGTGTATGGATCTTCAAGGTCACTCCTAGATATGGTGACCCCCCCAACACATAGCTATGATTTATTATAGCTGAAGGATGCAATGCAAAATCAGCAAAGGGAAAAGGGGATGAGGTAAAGACTAGATCACTCAAGTTGTAACTTTTCAAGGATTTGCTTCCAGTGGAGTCACACAAACATAATTAATTTCTCCAGCATTGAATTGTAACTGCAAGTGTGAAATGAAGTCCAAAAGGTAAGCTTTAGAGACTCAGCACCCAGAGTTTTTGTTGTAGATTGGTCATGTAGGACATCATCTATGGTAATTCCAGACTCTCAGAAAGAAAACAGGTATTCATTTGAGACCGTACCATTTGCACAGTTTACACAGAGTAACCCCCCTGAACAGTCAGGAGATGATGGGAGTACTGCTGCAGTCCCATTTCTAGATGTCATCTGGGCAAATAGGCTTTTCTAAGTGTAGCAGGCCTTCAGTATTGTGTGTTAACTCTTTTGCTGAGTAGTTGTAAAGGAACATTTCTTCTAGCTTTACATGAGATATTATTGTAAGTACTGCCATACTTAGAAAGAATTCCTGCTCTTAGTGGGCCTGCCATAGGGATAAGACAAACATATAAATTGCAGTGATTAAATGAAAGTGCCATAGAGCTACATAAGGAAAAATCCCCAAAACCGTGCCTTGGCAAGGCCTCAGAAGTCCTGCCGACACTTGAACAGCAATTCTGTTTGTGTATATGTAATACACCTATCTACTTTTATGGTCATTTTTGCCATCTGTATTAGAAAAGTGAGTTTAAGAGGCCAAGGAGATGGCTCAGTAGAATAAGCGCTTCCCTGGCAAGGGCAAGGGCAAGGGCCTGAGTTCAATCCCTGGTTCAGTTAGCCAAAGAACAAAAAAAAGAAAAGTGAGTTTAGTCAGAATTGACATGCAGATGAGGTGCTTGACATAATAGTTGAGTTGGCCAATTTTTAGTGTGTTTTCATTTAAAGATAATCTTGATGTAAAATGAAATTAGTGCAACCTGAAAAAACAGTTGCCCTTTATAAAATGCATGATTGCTTTAACTGTCTCTAATTCTAGGTGCTAAAGTGCCTTCCAGTTGATGGGAGCTTTTGAAAATCTTATCAGTAAAAATGTTTTTAAAATATTTCACTTAGTAATTTTTTTTTTTTTTTGGCTGATTTTTTTTCTCCATAATTTTATTGAGAAACAAATAGCAGTGAGACAGTTTCAAATCAAATTGGTAGGACAGTTTCAATAATTAACACATTGCATACTTTCTTCCTAGTGGTTATTACTTAATAACTTTTGAAAGTTAGCCAAGCAAAACTTTGCTTTACTATGATGTTCAAGAAAATAAACTATTATGTTCATTAAATTAGAGTAGTAGTGAACTGAGCAGTATTGTCCACTAATTAGTAATATGGCTGAAACTATACTGAAAATCAGTCTTGTTTGGAGTCCCAAGTGCCCCCTGGAATGAGGGATGTGGGTGGGTGGATGGGTATCATGCCCCACCTCCCCACACCTAAAACCTTGATAAGAGTCTGTTCTGATCATTGGCTTTTCTTTCTTTTAAATGAATAAAATCTTCAGAGAACAGATTTTATATTAAAAAATACCACCCAGTTGATTAAGTTCTGCTTAGTTGTGATTTGGTTATACTAGACAAGACTTTATGTTTTCTAAATCATGCAGTTGATCACAACAGGAGCTTTATACTACCTGCAGACCACATGCTTAGTATGGTATCCCAGTCTTCTCTAATCTGATTCCATTCTGTGCTTCCAGATTCTTCTGCCGCTTCTTTGCATACCTTATATATTTCAGCTACCTGCATTACAACTTCCACTTTTTATTTGTCTGGTTCCATTTTAGGGTTTCTATTTTATAGTAGAGACAATAGCATGAACAAAGGCAGATAACCAAGAAAGAACAGATTCTGATTGGAAGAGAAGTATGGCTGGGTGTTGCTAGAATCTAAACCCCTGGATAGGGTCGAAGAAAGGAAATGAAATAGAGACCCAATTGGGTTCAGTCCTAGATGTCACGGAGTAGACCATATTCTTTGTATTCCATGCACAGTATTCTATAAATTTGCATTGTTTGAGCATGAAATACTTAGTTGATTTCTGACATGCATGACCTTGATGCAGAAAGGTGATCATTGGAAGATAACTGTATGGCCATGTACAAATTTTCAAAAAATGAGAAGAGTTGAACAAACTGTTTATGCTCATTGTAGGTCAGTAAGGTAAAAGATAATCCCTGCCTTCATGGAAATACATTGAATTGGGAATGAGTAAGTGTAGTATGTGGAGATTAGGAAAGGACTCTGAAAAGGTGGTGTGGAACTAAGCATGCACTTGAAGAAGGAGTAGAAATGAGCCATGTGACCATCTGGAGCAAAGCAAAAATTTTAAGTGGAAGGAAAAGCATGAGGAGGAGATAAGGCCAAAGACACAGTGGGCTGGGTTGAAAAAGACCTTGAAGGCTTTTTAAGGACTTTCACTTTTAATGGGAGGAATTTAACCTGCTTAACACAGCAGGTAGAATTATTAGAACTTGAGAGTAAAAGCAAGGAGCCCAGTAATGAAGCTATTGTAATCCAGTCAGGAGATGATAGTGACTTGGGCTAGGTTAATAGCAGAGGAAGAGGCAAGAGGAACTCATTTTTGAAGGTGGAGTAAAGTGTTCTATCAGAGAATTAGGTCATATATTTGAACTCTATGAATGTAACTACTTATAAAAGGTTTATTTTTTCCATAATCCTAACTTATGTCTTGAAAAATAAAAATTTGGTGTAAAAGAATGGATTTTTATGTTTGCTGATTTAGGCCTTTGATCCTAGTTTAGCAAGGTATGCCACTAATAATTCATAAGTAATACAACCTAGCCAGACCAATGTGAAACTTTATTTCACACTGAATGTTAATGTAAGCTTTACCAAAAATGCTGTCAGAATTGAGAGTGTATATAATTTTCATCTGGTTGAATTTGGTATGGTTTCTTCTTGAAGTTCCTATTAAAGATGCATGACCTAGGTCCTAAGATGTTGAAGTATTCTTTTTTGGTTAAGGTTGCTCAATATAAGATCATTGACATTCACATAGTCTCACTAAACAGAACACTTTATAGGAACACAGTGGGTGGTGAGTAAATTTAGTTTCTGTTCAGAAAGTCCTCTCCCACTCTTTCTGCTTGTTGTATGACAATATTATGGTAGGCAGCAGAGGTACATTGAGTACTAATGATATTCCATGCCAGGAAGAATAAGATATAAATTACAAAAGGACTGCTTTATTCATGTGTTCTAGGATATCAACCAATACCTCTGTGTGAACATGGAACATAAACTTATTTTAATAATTATGAAGCAAAGTTGAGATCAGTCTTGGAATATATGTGCACAATTGTATTTAAGCATGTGGAGGTGTTAATGTATTAGTGTGGTGGATTTCCCATTTTAAACCATTGTTTTTTAATCTTTTTAATTCTTAAAAATTTTGATTTATTTTAATTTTCACTGGAATGTTTAGTACTATGTTTCAACAAAGATCTTCCTTAAAAGCACATTGTCACCATTAATATTATCAACTTTTGATTACTCTCTGTAAAAGTCAGCCATTGGCTTTTTCCACTACTTGCCTTGTCTTTTAAAGGAGAAGGACTTTTTTCTATGATATTATTTCTCTGTCTTCCCCATCTACCACAGGAAAAGGCAGTTTCTGGTCAAGTATTTGGATGTCCAAGTAATACAATATATGCCTTACTTTTCCTTCTGTTTTTAAACACTGAATCATTTAGCCATTTGTTGATTTCTTTCTTTAAAAGTAAGTCTGTCCTAAATAAAAACAGAAGATCTTAAGCTTACGTATATCTTTTCATCTTTCCTGGGCAGAGAGGCAGATGAAGGCTGTAAAAAACCTTTAGAAAGATTGCTGAACATCTGGCAAGAAAGAAGTGTGTATGGCGGCGAGTTCATACAGCAGCTGAAGCTGTCTATGGAGGACTCCAAGAGCCCTCCCCCCAAAGGTAGAAACATCACCACATGTTTACAGCTCTTGGTCTTTGCCTACTTTCGAATCAAATATGAAAAGCTGCAATGGGGGTGCTGTGAACCACGAGCAATTTTATGATTCTTCAGAGAAAGATGATCATGAATGATGGTGAGAATTTATGTGGTGCTCGTGGTGTGCGAGCCTGGTTCTAGTACTCATGCTGTTCATTCTCTCACTCCCTAACTTTTGCTGTATGTTTTTCTCAGGTCTCTTCTGTCTTTCAAAGACTTTCTTGCACAAGGGAAAGGAAAACAAAGTTCTTCAGCATTGTGATTAAGTACTAAGATTTTGTACCAATACTTTGTCCTAGTCCTGCCATTAACTACTACAGATCTGAGATAAGCTCTTCTAGAACTTGGTTTTGTTAAGTACCATTGTGGTTTTAGAACATATTCTTATTACGATAAATAAGATTGTTTTCTAAAATTCATTTTAATCTTTACTGTCCCAGGATATCTTGGGAGGTAGCATGTATATATGAATTTTATCAAATTATTTATAAGAACTTTTAATTTTCCCCTTTAAGAATATGTTATTTGACTTCTGGTTACTTGTCATCCAATTCTAGTCAGCATATATTTCCAAGCTATAGATCAGATCTGACTGCTCTATACTCATTACATGGATGATCGAATCCAAGTGCTAGTAGTAGAGAAGACCCTTTCTGATCTGAACCCTGCTTTCCCTTACAGACTCTCTGTTGTTTGGCCACACTGAATTGCCATGCCCTCTGGGTGCTCTGTGGGCACCCCTTTCTCAGTAGTTGCTCTTACCTCTGCCTGAGATGACTCTGCACCTTTCACTGTGTGAATGCATTCTGTAAGAAGGCTGCTCTTGCCCTGATAGCTTCTTTGCTTGTCTGGGCACATGAAACCATTTCTTATTCAGTAGTACTGTGTTCACACCTCTGCTGTAGACTTTACTGGAATTAGCAGGTGTGACAATGTTTTCAGACTGTGGGTCATGGTTGTTTTACTTGGAGGTGTTAAAAAATAATTCCAGGGTCATTCTGGTGGTAGCTTTTGAAAAAACAGGTTGTTTCCTACTTTGGATTCTGATAGTGTTAGTAATGTGTCCTTTGGAGGTGTTTATTCTGTACAGCTTTGGGAATTATCCAACATTCTTTTCTGCACTCTGCCTTACAGTTCATTTAGTAAACAGTGCTGATTTTTAAAAGCACCTTTGGGTAAACAGGTGAACTCTGAAAAAGAATGCTTAAAGCCGGTGTTGAATTTCAGTTCAAGCATTTGCTGGACATGCAATTTGAGTAAACAGCTAAATTAGGTGCAATAGGAAAGCGCAAGAGAGGAATGAGAAACTTATCTACATTCAGGGAGCTGTCACACAAATAGAATTTGTGGCAGTATTGAAAATAGTTCTGTTGGGTTGTTTGCTGAATTTTTTTCTTTCTTTTTTTTTTTTTTGCCAAGTTTTTATTATATTGTATATTATGTACTTTTAAAAGGAACATAAAATACAGCATCAAATTCTTAAAATATATATATATATGTATATATAGTGCATTTAGAATAATCATTTCACATCAGCTGTGTACTTGCTTACAAAAGCTAAAAGATAATATCAAAAATAAATGTCTTCATGAACTACAATGAAAATACAAACAGAACTCTACAACAAAAATAATCTTTGCTTCAACTGTCACACCCAAGCCAGTCTTCACGCATGACAGTTGCATGCTCCAAGCACACATTTTGCTTACACTGACGGCACATGTGCTTCGCTTTCCTTTCCCACGTGGCAGGTCATTCTTTTCACCTCTCTTGTTAGCCTGTTTTGTTAGGAGCTACCTAATGTATCCTACAATGTGCACTTAGCAGGAAAATAAGGTATCAATAAAATACCATGTCAACTGTGTACTGAGAGCTTAGACTAGACATCAGCGTTTTCACATCAGCTGTTCTCCTGCTTTTTTTTTTTTTTTTTTTTTTTCTTCTTAGTGGTTAATTGCTGTACAAGATGCGGACTTGTGATCCTATTTACAAACACCATTAGAACAAATCATTCCATTCATTAAGACAATGCAACTATATATCTACCCCAACCACTTTGAATACACAGATACAGAATGGACATTCATCGGTGTACCCCATTTTTCCTAAGTTCAGTTACTGAATATTATAGCTGGGTAAACTCAGCAAAATATTCTAAAAGAGTCCATGATACCTGTGAATTTTTTTCTTTGAAGGTCTAGACAGATAATAACAATGAGGGCAGAATGTATGGAAGATAATATTAATCTAAAGATAGTTTCTCTTTTGCTCATCTTTAAGACATCAAAAAGTTCCATCCCACTGTCTTCTGTACCTGAGTTAGTAGAATGCTTTACTATAGTCCTTTCTAAATATTAATGATGAGTTGTCCAGAAAATTATTCTCAAGTGTAAGTAGTCCATTATATTTCAGCTTTGATTCCTGGGTAATTCTTTAAGCAGTTTTATATAGAGTTTATTTTTGAAATAAAATTTTCCTTTGGAGCTTTGACAGTTCTTGTAACATGGGAGCATGGATAAGCTCAGGATTTTGTTTTAAGAACTGTAGATGTCTTCAGTTTTTATATACCTTTCTCCAGTTGCAAAGCCCAGGTATTCTAAAGTTGCTGCTGTTTTGGGAGATACTAAAGTTGTTGCTTGATTGGATAGAAATTTATTATTTACTTGAATCATACGTGAGTCACAAGTATTGTGCAGTTGTGGAAGGCTTTAGGAAAGAAAGATGGTTGCATAGGAACCAGCATTAATTGAGCACCAGTTGTATACTAGCTTCTCTGCTGCCTGCTTATGTATTATTTTAGATCTTTAAAATTATTTTTGAGTTTGGTATTAGTTTTATATGTCAGGTGTGTATAGGAAGGCTCAAAAAGGTATAGTAATTGTGTCTAAGGAGCAATAGTTCATGAGTGGTGATTTCAAACCCTGGTACATGTTGACTTTAAGACTGATGTTCTTTGCACTGGAAAGCACATGGATTTAATGGACTTGAATTATGGCATGAATTGATGAGTAGGTGTCCAAACTTGCCTGAACCTCAGTAAAAGTTTAGATGTTCAAATTTCCAGAGCATGAATTCTAGCTCTGTCATTTCTAAAGCGGTGTGACCTAGGCTCATGTCCTTACTGTACAATGTGGCTGTTAATAGTAATAGAGTTGTGATGAGGATTATTTGACATGCAGCTATGCCTCTCATTTCTAGTATCTGATATTCAGGATTTCAATATATGTCAGTTCAAGTAGGAGCAGACTTAGTATTTTCAGTCCCCTGTATTTTGTGCAAGTCTGGAAATCATGGTCATTAAAAGAATGAGCTCCTGCCCAACCACTGGAGGTTCTAGTATGAATTTAATTGCTCAGTTCAGTGAAGCGATGTGGGTAGATTGCTTTTTAAAACTGTCCCTCAAGTGTTAACCCTTTCTTTGTTACAGCCTCTTTTCTTCCCAAAAATAAAATTTAATGTGCTTTTTAAAATTTTTGCAGGAAGGAGACAGTGAGAGAACTGTTGCCAACAGTATTATCTGATGTGTTTTCTTAGAGTAATACAATATCTAAAGTGTTAGTTGTTTTTTTTTTTTTTTTTTTTTTTTGTTCCTCGAATGGCTTTAGGGCACTTTTGGCCAGCGGGAGAGTTGTGAGGTTCGAACTCCAGCAACCTGAGGCTGAGAGCTTTGTGGAAGCAGCCACTTAAAGGCCTGAGCTAGGGCCATGCCCCCTAAAGTGTTAGTTTTTGTTTCTGTTTTTATATCCCGAAATTTTCAAGTGTCTTCTGTAGAAGATCCAGCTTTGCAGGTTGATAGATGTTTTGTGGTGTCATTGAAGAAACTTCAGGCAGCGTTTTGCCTTAAGATTAGTTTTACAGGGCTGGGGAGATTGTTCGGCGTTCTAAATGCTTGCCTGTCAAGCACAGGGACCTGGGTTTGATGCCCAGTACCACATGCTGTGCTGGCCCCGAAACCCTGGGCATACCATGCCAGCTCCAAAACAGTGCGTGGTGGCGGCACACACCTGTAATCACAGTGCTGGGGAGGCTGAGACAGGAGAATCATGCCGAGTCTGAACTGCATAGCAAGACCCCTTATCAAATAAAGACATTTTTAAAAAATTAGATTAGTTTTATAGAAATACTGGAATTTCTACCCCAAGGTATATGAGAAGTGTGTCATACCCTTATGTAAGCAGGGTTACTTGAAACTTAGCTGAACAGAAGACCTCCTGGAGAAACAAGGACAAGGTGGAGGGTAGAGGAGAAGCTAGAAATATGAAGACAGAGAACATTGACCACCTATAAGGTTTTTCCCTTCCTGAAAACAGTGCTTGAGTGAATAAAAAAGGGAGCATAAATACTATGGTCAGAATTAATAGTGGAAAACTTACTTTAAAACTTATTCAGTGTAGGGTGTGGCGGGCATAGCTCAGTAGTGAAGTACTTGCTTCCCATGTGTGAAACCCTGGGTTCAATCCCCAGCCCCACCAAGAAAATAAAAGAAAATTGAAATATGTAATAGGGCAGGTGTGGTGGTACATGCTACTTTGGAAGCTGAGGTAGGAGCTAAAAATTCAAGACCAACCTGGACAACTGAACAAGACCTTGCTTCAGAATTAAAAATGAGTGTTAGGGGCGTAAGTCAGTAGTGGAGCAGTTGCCCAACCTGTTCAAGACTGTGAGTTTGATCTCAAGCACCATAAATAGATAAACAAAGTTCTGGCATGAGAATGTCATTGACAGATTTGCTAGTTATTTTTAGTGGCTATCTAACGCAGTTGAGAATTTGGGGCCTAATACCTGCCAGCTTTGTAGTAATGATACCATTTTTGGTATCCCACAAACACTTTCCCAAACCCTGTTTCTCCTCTCCCTTCAGGAGGTTGCCCACCCTGATTGAATGGAGGTAGAGGAATGAGATACTTCCTCTAAAAGAGGAAAGTTTGCCAGCAGCTTTATATAAAGCAGCAAGGCCAAGTGCAGTGGGAATTGCAGAGCTACTCAGGGCGATGCTGCCATTGGTGAGCTAGAACTCAGGAGGGAAATGTACAATCACTTTGGGCCATTCAGCTCAGGAATGCCCACTTTATTATTAATCTAGGAAGCCTAGATTAATAATAATAGAGTTTATCTAAGTGGGAAAAAGCAGCTAGAGGCAGGGAGACTAAGATAGGACAGTAGTCTCCACAGGTGTCGTAAAGAACCAATTACTGATAAGAGACCATAGATAGAAAAGGGCCAAGAGAGATTTGTGAGACATCCTTTAGTGATTGGCATCTACTAGAAGTTGGAACTTTGGGATAGATTCTAGTGGTCTCTAAAGCTTTGTACTTTGAAGATGGGGCCAGTTGAAGTTTTTATACTGAAAATAAGTATCTCAGAGAATAGGGGCCATATAGGGGAAAGAATGAATAATTCAACTCTACAAATCTCAGATTTGTATCATTAGTGGATTCTCCAGTTGAAAATAGGAGTAAACTGGAAAAGTAGGCTGGTATTGGTTTATACCTCTTGTATCTTCTTTCATTAGTGAAGAACAGAAATGGCCCCCAGATTGTCTTTTATCAGTGTGATTTGAGTCTTGTGTTGTGGGTGAGTGGCAGTATAAAGTGGTAACAAGAATCTCTGGTTAGGAAGCAGCAGGCTTTGGTTTGTGGACCCAGATTTAAACTAACAAACTCCCTGGCTTTAGACAAGCCTGTGAGCCTTGACTGTTGAAGTCAGGGAATGAAGTTGGAGAAGGTAAAGGCTGATGTAAGGCCTTCCATTGCCAGAAGTCAGTGATCCATAGGGTCCTGGTCAAGTGAGTGGTTGGGTTTTTATAACTCATAATAATTTCTGTGGGAGTTTGAAAATTGAAGGATTTCAAAATATAATTTACTGTATTTGATAGTTTTTTCAGCACTCGTCTATGTCCTCAGAAGCAAACAACACAATATAAATTTTATTTTGATCATTGTTCACATTGTAATGGTGTTTGACGCTGTAGTGACTGAATGTTTATGTGGGTCATACCACAAGCTAGAACATTAATTAAGCAGCTACTGTGTACAAAGTACTGTTATGTATTTTATGTGGAAACTATCCCTGAATATGTTTTTCATTTAAAAAATACAGGGCCGGCCAGATAGCTCAGTGGATTAAAGCACCTGCTTAGGCAGATGCAGGAACCTGGGTTTGATCCCTGGGGTGCTGTGCTGGCCTCCCCCTGGGGCATGCTGAGCTGGTGATTGAGACTGGACTGGGCGTGGTGGTTTGCGCCTGTTATATCAGTGCTTGGGAGGCTGAAAAACAGGAGGCTCACTGGGAGTCCGATCTGTGTAGTGAGACCCTGTAGATCCTGTACTAAACACATAAAAAATAAATAAAAATTTAAAATACAACTACTTTTGCTTTGCCTGGTAGTGCGAGATTAAAGAAGACTATGCACACTGAAACTATACATAGTGAACCTAAGAATGGAGAGAATTAAAATTGTTTTGTGATTTTTTTTTGTTAAAATTGAAAACTCACCGTTTACTAATGTATAGGGAAACACAAAAAAGTATGACAGTTTATTACATAACAGCAAAGAATTAGAAACATTGAAGGTTAATGTGTTTTCTCTGTAACAAATTTATCAAAGAATTGAACAATGCTTGCCTTGTAGTTACTAGAGCTCATGATACAGAGCAAGGATCTTTCCTGGGTCTTAGTGAATAACCCCACTGCCAACATTTTATCCCTAGTGCTCTCGGTGTTAGAAAATATCCCTGTGAGTTCCTTTGGTATGAAGTTTTTGTCATTATCTCTTCCTGCAGGATGTTGTCATTCTTCTCATTACTATCACTGCTCTTTTTTTTGTACTGGGAACCAAACTCAGAACCTTGCACTTGCCAGGCAGTTGCTGTGCTGCTGCACCCCAGACCCCTTTCACTAAATTCTTGTGGTTGAGACTCAGTCTTTTTGTAACTTCATTTTTGTGCCCCTGGAATTTCATTTCCACCACTAGCTTTTACAGTAGTTTCTTTTTGGTTTTTTGGTGGTACTTTGATCTTTATGGCCAGTTCTCTGTTTCTTTTATTCATTTTTATTAATTGTTGTGTGAACTTACACTGGGAAATGGGGAAGCATGTTAACAGTGGTAACCAGTCTATACATAATAGTGTCACTTGCAAAGCAAGAACTACTGGTATTACAATATTGTTGCTTTTTTAGTAGAAAAAGCAAAGTATTAAAAAATGTGATAGTGGGGCATGGTAGCACGTACCTCTGATCCCAGCACTCAGGAGGCTGAAACAGGACAGGCACTGCAAATTGAAGTCCATTGTGGGCTACAGTGTGAATTCAAGGCCAGCATGAACTGCAGAGTAATTTTTTTCATCTCAAGAAGAAAAAAGATTCATGCTGTTGACTTGGGTGCATCCCAGTTTGGTCAGTTAATGTGTAAGATGGAAAATAAGAGCTACATACTTGCTCCAGAAGAAACTGTTTCAGTGAAAATGTATATTCCTCATGGGTTACTCTTTGCTAACTTAAAAAGTTCTGAAGAGTACCAGTGTCCTTCCTTTTTTGACAGATGAGAGGGTACTTGTGCTTCACAATTTCAGTCCAGTGGAAGCACAAGTTTTAGAGGCATGCCTTTCAGTCAGTTATTTTAACCTCCCCCAGCTGTTGGTTTCCTCACCTGTGAAGATCTTACAATTGTTGGAAAGAGTAAATGTAATTAGGCTGTTACAGTGCCTTATACATATTAGGGGCTTAGTACTTCTTTCTTTCATCTTTCAAATGACCAGAAGCCGTCATTTCAATCTATTTCCCACAGTTGTTTTGGCATTTATTTTGTACTGTCCAGTTTGATACAATAGGAGTGATTTTAGAAGTAACACATTTGTTACAGCAATATAAAAACATAAGGTATGGACAATAAAAAGGTAACCTGTGAGCCTCAATCTGTAACCAAAGGTAACCTGCAGTTAAATTAAAAATATTAACTTAATTTCTTTTAGTAGTATCAGTCATATTTTTCGGTAATGGTTATTTTTTATTTCAAGGTATAATTAGGGTTTTTTTATTTAAAAAGATATTTATACAGTATTTAAGATCTGGGACAGTTTTATTGATGAATTCTCTCAGATTTTTTATGTTCTTTTTTTCTCCTGTATTTAGGACAGGGTCTAAAGGGTCTCACTATGTAGACCTGACTCCTAGTGATCTGCCTATGTTCAGCCTCCCAAGTGCTGGGATTACAGATGTGTGCTATCACGCCCAGTCTCAATCACAGTCTCAGCGTGCCCCACAGGTGGGCCAGCACTACATGCTTGGGATTCCCAGCTGCTGTGCTCTGCCTAAGCAGGCTCTTTAGTCCACTGAGTTATCAGGCTGGCCCTTCTCTCAGGTATTTATTTTCTGAAGTGATCTTTGGAAACCGTAGACTTATCTTTTTTTTTTTTTTTTTTTTGGTGGTACCAGGGATCAAACTCAGGAGCTTGTGCTTGCCAGGCAAGCACTTACTCACTCTGAGCTATCTCCCCAGCCCAAAATACCTAATTTTATGTGCAGTATGTTCTCAATAAATCCTTGTGCATATTGGCTTATTCATTATATTTTCTAGTGGGTTTCTTACTATTTTACTTGTAATGGTTTTTTTAAGGATATGATGTTTTTGATTAAATGTGATAACTTGGTGTGTTTTGCTTTTAGATGGTTGTTTTCAGTATTTTTCCAGAGTCAGTTTGAGATGACAGATCAAGACCTCTCTGACTGTGGTAATTTGAGGAGCTAAAATGAATTTAAATTAAGTGGCATAAAGATTAATGTTAGCTCATTTCTGAAAATGAACACCTTCTGCTCTGTTTTTACATGTGTTCCATTGTGTGTAGCATTTGACTCTACATATGGGATATGTGACTCGAATTTATCATTTTCCTTTCTTCTAGCAACAGAAGAGAAGAAATCTCTAAAGCGAACTTTTCAACAAATACAAGAGGAGGAGGATGATGACTACCCTGGAAGCTATTCTCCCCAAGATCCTTCTGCAGGACCCCTCCTGGTATGTTTGGCACCTAGAAAGTTAGGGCAAAGTGGCTCCAAGTCCCGCTAGTTGAAGAAGGTGGCCACCAGGTGGCACCAGTGACCAGTTGTGTGGAGTCTGCAGAGGTTGCCTCTTGGCAGGGCATACAAGAGCCACCCAGAGAAGCTTGCGTGCCATGACTTAGGGATGCATTTACATTTTATGAAGTACTTGGATTTTTTTCTTCCATTCCTAGAAATTAAAAATGTTGTTAAAAATAGATTTTTGTGAAAGGAATAGATAATATTATAAAGATATTCAAAAGTCTTTTTTTGGTTTGTCTCTAGTAGCTTGGTGGTTTGTTTTATAAGTAATAGCTCATTAGGAGCTAAGGACAGTCTCTGTGCCAATAGTAAGCTTGCTACACTGTAACCTATTTATTTATTTATTTTATTATTTTTTTTTAATCTTTTTTTTTATTTTTTTAATTTTTTTATTTATTTATTTATTTGTGTGTGTGTGTGTGTGTGTGTGTGTGTGTGGCCAGCTCAGCCCACCAGGGGGCAGGGCTGGCTGGCATGTGGTGCTGGGGGATCGAACCGCGGTCCCTTTGCTTTTGTTAAGCTTGTTCTAAGTAGGTGCTTTAGACCACTGAGCCATCTCACCAGCCCCTACACTGTAACCTATTTAATAAAAGTCTTTAATCATGTGTTTGTATGATTTAGCTCTTTATTAGACAAATTGGCTTATGAAGTCTGTGGTTGCCTTATTTCATCTCTTTACGGTAAAAGAAGATGAGGCTCAAGAAGACAGACTAAGTACCTTGGCCTGACATCTTAATTTGAATCCACTTCAGAGCCTATTCCCTTTTCACTGGCTCATAATGCCTCTTATTTTTGATTATACATAGGTGTGTTTAAAGCTTAGGAAAGTAGAAGCCTGTCTAGTTTGTACGTGAAAGTGATGATTAGGCTGGGTGTTAAGGGCAGGAGCTTTAGGTCATATATCTGTACCTAAAAACCTTAAAAGAGAATAGCTTTCATTATCGCCTTCCAGAATAATGGAGTTAACCATCTGTAGTCATTGTGGACTGGTTTACCTGTCAGCTCAGCATTCTGCTTTTTTCTGACAATGTAATAAATCTCTTGATACTGCAATATGCAGACTATGCATTCTTAATTTGCTTTCCTTATTTTCCCTCCTTTGTAGTTAATGAGTTTTACACATTTAATACAGGGAGTGATAATCATTTCAAAAGTAAATTCAAGAATTTAATAAGGGGCTGGTGAGATGGCTCAGTGGTCTAAAGCACCTATTTAGAACAAGCTTAGCAAAGCACAGGGACCACAGTTCAATCCCCCAGCACCACATGCCAGCCAGCCCCGCCCCCTGGTGGGCTGAGCTGGCCACACACACACACACACACAGAAATAAAAAAAATAAAAAAAAAAAAGAATAAAAAAAAAGAATTTAATAAGACAACACACTGTATGTGTGTGTTGGGGTACATGTGCTTTCAGTTACACGAAATTTTATTCACATGTTATAGTTCTAGAAAAATTAATTTTGTACATTCCCGTACAGTCTCTATCATTGACTTGTATATAAGTTCTGGAAATAAGAATAATTTTTGATAGAAGTCAGGAGAGGCCATTTTAGAATTTTACTTTTTCTTCACTTAACTCCAGTCAAATTTCTTTGAACTCTGTGTATTGTAATGAATATCATTGTGTTTTCATTTTATAGACTGAAGAACTAATTAAAGCTTTGCAGGATCTTGAAAATGCTGCATCAGGGGATGCAACTGTTCGACAGAAAATTGCTTCTCTGCCCCAAGAAGTGCAAGATGTTTCTCTATTGGAAAAAATAACAGGTGAGAAGCTATAGTCTAGGTGAAAGCGCGACTGATGTGTTTTCCTCCTTAGAGCATCAAATCCTAGGATGTGCTGATGCCTGCAGGCGTAGATTTTCTGGATGATGCTTTGCCACCTTGTGATTTGCAAATTAATCACATGCAGAACAAAGAAATGCTTGGAATAACCAAAGCTTGAGAATGATTCTAAGAATATTGCCAAAATGCCAACATGCCCCAATTTGTGGCACCTTAAATAAACTTTTTTGATAACACAGTACAAATTGTATGCATGTGGAACAATATGGATGGGGAGGAGATAGGCATTATGCTCATGAATTTCTAACAGAAAATTTGTGTTTCATCACTTTCTAAAAGAAAATAATTATGATACAGCGCTTTGTGATTTGTACACTATACATTGGCAAGCCCATAGCTGATTCAGTATTGAGAATTCCAAGTGTACACTTGGTCATGTCATGTTGCCCTAATGTTGACTACTCACAGTTACAGCATTCTGCATAAGAAGTTGGACAGAGGGGATGAAGTATTAACTAATCTAACAGTGTACTCTCTGCTAGTTACTATACTCTTGATGATCTTTGAAGATTGGGGAATGTATAGCCCCATGTTACATACAAAGAGATCAAGACTTTTGAGAAGTTAGATGTGTTGCTCAAAATGAAACAGGTAGTGGATCCAACCTAGGATTTGAGGTCTGAGTTCTTTCCGTTATAGATGGATAGGCTTTCCATTCTTCTATCTTGCAGTGGACTCTTCCCCCTCCCACAACGCTTTTTTTTGATTCAGCTGCTTCTCTGAGTTCCTGCATGTTCACATAGAGGAAGTCAGGCTACTCAAGAAGCACTTCTTTGTACAACAAATATCTGAGCCTCATGGTACCTTCAGTGTCCCACCAGTATTCCCTCAGGAAGTAAGTACCAAAGAGTTTGAAATGACCTTTGCAGAAAACCAAAGAAATTAGGAATAAGCCATGATGCTGTCTGAGGGAAGGAATTACCAATAGGTTGTACAGAGACCTAAAGGCTACGTGTGCTTAGAGGGAAAGCAGTGCAACAGAGAAGACTTTGAAATCACGTCAGAGGTGTTTTATTTTTTTAATATTTATGTTTTTGAGACAGGATTTTACTATGCAGTTTAGGCTGGCCTTGAACTCACTTTGTAGCCCAGGCTGACCTAGAAGTCACAGTGATCTTCCTGCCTTACCTCCTCCTCCTCCTCCTGATGAGAAGCATTTTACCTTTCTCCATGTCCCCTTTTACTACTGCCTTACCCTTGAGTCCTTGTTATTTAGACTCAGAGTCTATCTTCTCACATACAATATCGACATTTTTTTCTTCTGCCTTTATTGTAGCCATCTGGCAAAATCTTGAAACTGGTTAGATCCAACTTTAAAAATTATTATAAGGGCTTTTTATTCATCTACATATGGCATTAGGAATTGAACCTAGGGGATTTACACCAAGCTGTAGCTCCTGCCCATTAAAAAATTTTTTTTTGTTTTTGAAACAGGCTCTTGGTTGGTCAGTAACTTGCCTGGACTGGGCTCAGACTTACTGTCTTCTGCCTCAGCCTTCCAGATGTTGGTATTACGCCAGCACCAGCACAATAGCTATTTGTTTACTTACTGTGTAGTGCTATACATTGACCAGGGCCTTGCACATGTTAGGCCAGGGCTGTACCACTGATTATTCCCCAGCCTATTTTTACTTTTATTTTTTATTTTTTATTTTTCCATAATTTTGTTGAGAAACAAATAGCAATGAGACAATGTCAAACCAAATTGGTAGGACAGATTCAATAATTAACACATTGCATGCATTCTTCCTAGTGGTTAATTGCTGTACAAGATGCGAACATGATATCCTATTTACAAACACTATTAGAACAAATCCCTCTATTCATTAAGAGAATGTAACTATATATCTATCCTAACCACTTTGAATACACAGATACAAAATGGACATTCATCTGTATCCCCTTTTTTGTTTAGTTCCGTTATTTGAATATTATAGGTGTGTAACTCAGCAAAATATTCTAAAAGAGTCCAGTAGTCCATAATAAATGTTTTCTTTCTTTCTTTCTTTCTTTCTTTCTTTCTTTCTTTCTTTTCTTGGAACCAGGGATTGAACTCAGGCCCTTGTGCTTGCCAGGCAAACACTTATTCTACTGAGCCATCTCCCGGCCCCTTATTTTTACTTTTATATTGTGGTACATACTCTGGTTTCTCTTCAGTTCGTATAAATCTTTTGCTTTTAATTTGTTGTGCAATGTACATAATAGAAAAGCATATGGTTCAGTGGCATTAAATACTTTTACATTGTTGTGCAACCAGTTTCCACAATTCTGTCTTGTGAAACTCAAACTCTGTACTCACGAAACAATAAACCATTTCCTACTTCCAGTTTTTCTTCTCCTTTCTGTACCTGTGCAGCTAACGTTGCTAGGGAAAGTAGTTTATAAGCCTTAGCCTCTTTCTTCTCTGGATGAACATTCTGTATTCCAAACATTCCCTCTTCTAAGTTAAATTTACTTCTTATATATTCAAGGGCAGCCTGGACTGTAAAATGAGATCTTGTCTCAAAAGCAGAGAGAGGGCGACGGGAGAGAGAAAGGGAGAGAAAAGACACCCTTCACTTTTGCGTCTTTCATCTCTTCTTTCTACTGGGTCATTTTACATAGTCTTTTTTTTTTTTGGCAGAACCGGGGATTGAACTCAGGTCCTTGCGCTTGCCAGTCAAGCGCTTATCCTACTGAGCCATCTCCCCGGCCCCATACTGGGTCATTTTAAATAGCTTTTTTTTTTTTTTTTTTTTTTTTTCTTTTTGCGGAACCAGGGATTGAACTCAGGCCCTTGCGCTTGCCAGGGAAGTGCTTATTCTACTGAGCCATCTCCCCGGCCACAATATATATATTAGGGATTTAATCCAGCGTCTTAAATTTGCTAAGTGTATGTTCTACCAATGATCTGTCCTCAGCCCCATAACATTTTGTGGTTTTACCCCACATAGGAAAAAAAATGTTCTTTGTCTGAACATCTTTCTCTAGTCACTGTTTTATTTTTCTGGTTCATGTTCTCTGTGTCTCTGTTTCTATCTCTGTGTCTCTCTGTCTTTCTTCCTGCCCTCTACCCCTTTCTCTCTCTCTCCTTTTCTTCTCTTCTCCTGTCTCTTCCTCTCTTCTTTTGAGACAAGGTCTTACTTTGTAGCCCAGCCTGGCCTTGAACTCTTGATCAGTCTGCCTTAGCACCCTGAGAGCTAGAATTACAGGCCTGTACCTTACACTCTCTTTCCATTTCCTTTTAACACAGCACCCTGAGTGGATTACTTTTGTTGCCTCCACTTCCTGTCCTATTTTCTTCTTGATTCCGCCTTACTGAACCTGCTGTTGTACCGCTTGCCCAGCACTCAGGAGACCCTTCCAACGTGGCACGAAGACCCAGTGGTTGGGCTGTCCTCAGGGCTCATGTTCCTGGTGTAGACAGCAAGTGATGACGAAGCTGTCCTCATCAGCTCCTCCTGGGCTGCATGAGACTACTTGGGCTTTTGAAGTAAATTTTTAATGTTTCATACTGTTAATATCTTGGAAATTTGTTAATTATTGCTGAAAGCCTTGTTTCTATTTTCAGATCCTTTCGATAAACAGACTTGTTTTTTTTTAAAAAAAAGTTGCTTATGACTTTCATTACCATGTTCATTGGTGAGTCTCAGCCCTTAAAGGACTTGACCATTAGTAGTGTTTTACCTGGTTAATTATTTGTTTTGTTTTTGCTGAAAATACTTACTTCATTTAGTTTGTTAGATAGAATAATGCTGTCCCTCTCAAAAGCCCAAGTCAACATCACCAGAACCTTGACTATGTTATCTTATGTGACAAAGAGAGCTTTGCAAATGTGATTGGGTTAAGGATAGGGAAATGGAAGGAAATTCTGGATTATCCAGGTGGACCCAGTGTAATCATAGGATCCTTATAAGAGAGGAGATATGACTTTGGAAGCAGAGGTTGCAGGATGTGTTTCAGAGATGGAGGAAGGGGCCAAGGTAATAAATAATATATTTATGGTATTTTAATTCCCTAGTTTTGTGGGATTTTTAAGCAGCAGTACAAAATAAGACCCCTTATTCTTCTAGCTTTCCTCCTTTCTCTCAAGCAATGTCTTTTCTACTACTTGGTGCTTTTTTCACTTCCCTTTGGTCTCTCAATATTGATTTCTTAGTCTTCTTCTGTAGCTAGTTTCGTTAACAGTTATTACCGGTTTAACTTGAAACAGTTTTTGTGCAAATAATGGCCTAATTTATATCTTTATTGTTGACCTTGCCTTTGTACTTGATCCCTATATATCCACTCTTATTTGTTGAATGTTGTTTCTCCTCCTCCTCCTCCTCCTCCTTCTCTTTCTCCTTCTGCTCCTCCTCTTCCTCTTCCCTCCTCCTCCTCTTCCTCTTCCCTCCTCCTCCTCTTCTTCCTCCTCCTCCTCCTCCTCGTTCTCTTGTTCCTCCTCCTGCTCCTCCTCCTCCTCCTCCTTTTTCTTCTTCTTCTTCTTCCTCTCCTCCTCTTGTTCTTCCTCCTCCTCCTCCTCTCCCCCTTCTCCCCCTCTTTCTTTTTTTTTTTTTTTAATTTATGTGTGTGCGCATGTGTGTGTGGCGCCAGCTCAGCCCACTAGGGGGCGGGGCTGGCTGGCTTGTGGTGCTGGGGGATTGAACCGCGGTCCCTGTGCTTTGCTTAACTTGCTCTAGGTAGGTGCGTTAGACCACTGAGCCATCTCACCAGCCCTCTCCCCCTCTTTATTTTCATTTTGAAGACAGGATTTCACTGTGCACTTGAGGCTGGCCTTGAACTGTCAACCTTCCAAGTGTTGAGATTACAGATGTGTCCCGTCACGTGCAGCCTGGTTAAATGTTTGCATAAGAGTTTCAAACTTAGCCTGCCCCAAACTGAACTGAGTTTCCTTCCGAAAATTTTTCTCATAGTCTTCGCTATCTCAGTAAATTGAGCTCATTCCTGTTGATTGTGACCAAAACTAGTACTTCATATCTGTATGTCACTGTCATGCTCAGTGGAGTAATGACAATTTCCTTCTTAGTCTGCCACTTGTTTTTTGTCCCTGATTCCCAGTCATCATCTTACTATCAACATAATAATCAGAATAACCTTCTTAAACCAAAGTTGGATCATATCCCAGCTTGATCAGAACAACCCAGCAGACAACTACACCTTCCAGCCTGGCTCCTGTCGCCTAGTGGGCTTCACTGCTTTTCCTTTGTTCACTCTTAAGTCTTCTGGGCTTTGCACCAGGCATCAGACTGTAGGCATCATCCCTCATCCCTCTCAGGGCTTTTGGATTAGTACTATTTCTTCTTCTTGGAAAGATCTTCCTCTTCCTTCAAGCCCTTGCTTATGTATCTGTCACCTCATTAATGCCTACTCTGAACACCTTGTTGAAAATTGTGCCCCCCCATTCCAATGCCTCATCCACCTCCATGTACTATACTGTGTGTTTTTTTCTTCCTGTCAGACTGTAAGTTCAAGAGCAGAGAGCTTTTATCCTTTTAATTCCCTGCTTTCTCTGAGAACCTCAGAACACTATAGGTACTCAGATATTCATTAGGCAGATTGGAAGGTAGTGAGTAGAGGATTGGTAGGTTTGAAAACCTGATTGGAGTCAATTTAGTAACATGGGAGAGAGAAAGTAGCTATGGCAAATGTGTAGAGTTTGTCATAAAAGGAAAGCAGGGAAATGGGGTGATAGCTAGAGAGTGCTAGGTGCTACCTGGTTGGAATAGCTGTAGATTTCTTTCTGTACTTCTTGAGGGAGAAAGGAAAGATGTTGCAGGAGAAGCACAGGGAGTATGCCAGAAGCTCCCTGTCTGTCAGCTTGAGGGAGTGGGATGCCTGTGCCCAGGTAGGCAGCTGTCTGCAAGAGGCTCACTGCTGCTCCTCTGCGTCAGGGAGGGCTGAGCGCCGGAGCACAGACACAGGTAAGTGCCCTGAAGTGAGGTCTAGCTTCTGCATTTGGACTGCATTTTCTTTGTAACTCAGTGAATTATAAAAATCATTTTTCTGGGTTTCAGTTATTTGTGTAAATGATTTTGACTTTCTTTGTACAGTTCTTTTTTATTTTAATGAGTTATACAAGTTCTTGAGGGTGAAAATTTGACTTTAAAGACATTAAAAGTTGGGGTTTTGTTTTTGTTTTGCTGTTTTTTACCTCAGTCAAGCATCCTAATAAATCAGCTATTTAAGAAAAGAAAGATTAATCAAAGAATAAGAAAGTTAAGAGCTGAGAAGATAGCTCAGTGACATAAGTGCCAGCCTGGCAAGTACAATGTCCTGAGTTCAATGCTTTGTACTGCCAGCAAAAAAACGTTGAAGTCAGCCTACCCATACAGTTGTAGTTTAAATCTCACTACCATTCATAGTTCTTTGTAGATATAGATCCTCTTTTTGTTTCTTCTCAGTGCTCAGTGCTGAGCCTTTATTCACAACTTACATTCTTTTTTTTCCCTCTAGCATGGGTTATAACCATTAATTGGACATGTTAGTAATGACCAACACTTTTTGAAGTTGTAAATAGAAGCACTGCTTTATGAAATGTTGCTCTAATGTTTATAATGTATTTCTGTGGTGGTCATGATGAAAAACATTTGAAAGCCTCTGTTTCTTATCAACTCCTTTGTCTTGCCGAATGTAAGGAGGAAGAGAGCTTATACTCAGGCTCAAGACTTATGCTCTTGAAGAGACAGAGTACTGCAGGTTCTTTGAAGTTCTTGCTTTGAGTTTCAGCTCACCTGACCACATATTGAACCTGTCCTGTAGCTTTTTATTTATTTTTTGTTTTGGTTTACACACCCAAGAAAGGAAAGCTTGTGTTTTTATTAGTATTTGAGAGGAATATGAAAAGTATACTTAACAAAATAATACAAACAAAACATTTGAACTTCAGAAGGGCAAGAAAAATCATTTAAGGTATGATATTAAATATCTTCCTCTCAGGCTGGGCATATATTTCCCTGGTACAGTGCCTGCCTGGCAAGTGCAAGGTCCTGAGTTTGATTCCTAGTACCAAGAGGAAAAAAAAAAAAAAATCTTCCTCTCTGTTTTGTTTGTACAGCTTTTGCAGGAATAGACATTTAAAAATATTTTCCAGGTTTCCCTCCCTATACAGTTGCCCTACTTCAGGTAATTCAGAGTGAAAGCCTTTGGGTTTCTTCGCCAGCCAACTCATTCTTTATCTACAGGTCCTGGCCTATTCTTGGACTCTCTGTGATAGGAGAGAAACTATAAACCTTCCCCCCAGAAATGGTTGCAATTGTACCTATGTGATTTGCATGTTGTTTCTATTTTTTGGTCTCATTTATACTTAGACAAAGAGGCAGCTGAACGTCTTTCAAAAACAGTAGATGAAGCATGTCTGTTACTAGCAGAATATAATGGACGTCTGGCAGCAGAATTGGAAGACCGGCGCCAGCTGGCTCGGATGTTGGTGGAGTACACCCAGAACCAGAAAGATGTTTTGTCAGAAAAGGAGAAAAAGCTAGAAGTGAGTACATTGCAAAGCAGACCCAGATTCCCCAAGTTCCTCTTTCTGTAGCTCACGTTCACAGTTTTTTATTGTGCGTTAATTAACATGTTTTTATCTTTTGAGATTGGAACACCCATTACAAATTGTAATTATTTGATCCTAGTTAAAAATTAAAGTCGTGTTTTTATATGCTCAAAAAAGAACAAATTGGATTGTAGAAAATAGTGAACTCAATCAAGTGTTTGGGACTTTAACATTCAGTTAGTTTTACCTCACGTTAAAAACAAATTGTACATCAAAGTGCAAAAAGAAGAGCAAAGCTGAAGAATGTATAGTGATATATAGGAAATTCTTTAAAATTTCTTTAGAGTTGTTTTGAGGTTTACTTCTGACTTGTATCAGTGCTACTAAGGCCAAGAAGTCATCTGCTCCAGGTTCTCCCTGTCAGTTCTGAAGTATCACAATAATGTTTATGGAGCCTGATTCTTAAGCTGTTGAGAAGGAACACATTTTTGCCTTAAGTTGAGGACATGAGTCTGAGGGCCCTTGGGAGTTCAGAAACACTGAGAAAACATTCTCGTCATTTTGTACTTATTTGGCTCCTTTATGAAGTACCTGGTTTAACTTCAGTGTCAAGTTCAACAATGGTGAAGCTCTTGGAGCTTTCAGGGAGACGCACAGACCACTATGGCCTGTGTGCCATAAGATTGCCAGCACTAGCCTCCTGTCTTGGGATACCAGAGACAACACGGTAGACATGTGAGGATTTTTGCTTATCTCAAGCTGCTAAGCTTCCTTTCTTTTTTTTCTATGTATTTGGTACAGGGTCTCCCTACGCAGCTTGGACTTGTAGTGATCCTCTTGTTTTCAGCCTCTCTAGACTGAGATTATAGGCATGTGCTGGTCTCAGTGGCCAGCTCAGTGCGTCGGGGTGGGAGCAGGGATCAAATCTCGGTCCTTGCGCTTACCTAAGGCTAAACTTCCTTTTAAAGATCTACTTTTATCTCTTAAAAAGATGTGTAGGCCAACAAGATAGCTCAGCAATCTAAAGTGCCTGCTTAGGCTTAGGCAGGCACAGGAGACTGCTGTTTAATCCCTGCACCACATGCCACGCCCGCCCAGCCAGGGGTGGGGGGTGGAGGGGATATGTAGAAGAACTTTAGCCAGTTCTGTGAAGGGAGGACAGATCTGAGTTGGAGAATCAACCACTGTTACAAGATACACTTCTTAAAGACCAGTCAGTAGGTAAAGGAGCAGGAAAACCCACCCTTCTCCCAAACTCAGGAACTTGTTTTTTGGCCCTAAATGGGGGAACACTGAGTTAGCTCAGACTGAGACTGTGTATTTGTCATTACAGAGTCACCTGACTTGAGCACTTCTGTATCCTTACCTGTGCTGATTATGAGGTAGTGTCGTATTCCTACCCAGCTTGACTATGGAAAACAGCCTTAAAATTACTGTGGCTTGGATGTAGAAGTGGGCACTGACCAGAAATCCTAAAGGGAGTTTCATAGGCAGTACCAGACGGTCATTTATCTGAAATGCTCATCATTCACTGAGGAAGCATTTTTAGCCCTGTGCCTTGGGACTAATAAGAGAGTGTAATTAATGATTCTGGTTGTAAGTCACCATGCCATCTGTTGAACTGCCCCTTGGCGACACATTAAGGGCTTTCTCTGATCTGTCAGACATTGATTATCATGAGCAGCTGTTGTTGGGCGGAACATGGCAGACGACCATAGAGGACGGTCTTTGGGAAGGAGACTGTTGGTAGAGCTGGTTAACACTTTGTTTTGTCATCTTCTCCCTGTTTCTTCAAGAATCATGCTGGTTTCTGTAGAGCCAATTTATTGGGTATCATGTGAAGTCATTAAGGTATGGAAATAGATGAGAGGTTTGGCTGTGTTCTGTACTTTTCTGCTCATGCTCCCCTGCTAGTTCGTTCAGTGGAGTGGCCTGGGAATGAATCCCACGGTTAAGAAGGAGAACAGAAGAGCTTTGGCACTGCGAAACATGGAATCTGAACTAGAGATTCCTGTCCAAAACCATGTGTTCCAACCACTTGAAACATTATAAAAATAGAGCAAAATTAGCTACAATTTAGAAAATAAATGATTAGGTAAAGCATGAGATGTCAAGAGGTAGCTTTAGTTCTTTCCCATGCTTACTGAAAGTATGAACTGTCTGTTCTTCAGACTTGCTTTCTCTCACTGTTCATTATAGGAGAGTCTTACTGCAGCATATCTTTGTGGTGATGGTAAAACCTGAAAGGTGGTGCTTTTGTTCTGATTGTCTCCAAATCCTCCAAAAGTCTTTTATGGATGGGGACTGTGCATTGGGTATATCAGTTGTTTTTAACCTTCATTTTGGTTGCACAGACCTTATTTTTAAACTACCAAATCATAATACTAATTAAGTTTTTTATGTTTACTTTTTCATTGCCTTCTGTCTTAGTTACTCTTCTCTCTTGCTGGGACAAATACCCGACACTCAAAATGAAGGAAGGAAAGGTTTATTTAGCTCACAGTTACTGGAGGTTTCAGTCCATACTCAGCTGGGTCCAACGCAGAGCAGCACACAGCAGAAAGCAACCTTTCATGGTGGCGGCAAAGAGCAAGAGCGCAAGGGAGAGGCAGCAGCAGCTCAAGCAGCTAGCTTCTCTTCCCTCCTTACATTGTAATGCAAATTACCTGCCCCAGGGTAGGGGAAGTACTCACACCTCTGGGTACTTCCCAGTATTTACCCACCTATGGGTAATCCCAGCAGTACTAAGACCCATAATCCCAGCCTTGGATCACACATAATCCCAGTGGATCATGAGTTAACACAAACTCTAGAAGTCCTCACCCCATGACTGCAGGAGGCTTTGGGGGGACAACTAGACACAAACCATAACACCTTCATTGTATAAAAATAAGGAATCCTTAGAACTTTTTTAATTAGGATTTTTCTTGGGGTTTTCCCCATACCTCCCGAGTTTTAATTTGTTAACATTTAATGTTTATTTGTATTTTTTGAATTTTTATATTGTCCTATTTAAGAAACCTCTCTCTCTCTCTCTCTCTCTCTCTCTCTCTCTCTCTCTCTCTCTCTCAAAAAAAACTTGAGAATTTTATGTTAGATTTTTGTGGCTCCTAAACCTGGAGAAACAGAATGCATTGGTGTTGGGGCTGGGGAGATGGCTCAGTAGAGTGAGGGCCTGAGTTCAATCCCTGGTTCTACCAAAAAAAAAAAGAAGGTGTTGGTGTAGAGCCTAGAATGTAAGAGGGGGAGTTAAGGCTGACAGAGAGAGATTGTGTTTCAAGGAAGTTGTTCTGGGCTAAACAGCATAGATAGACAAAACTTGCCTGTGTATAATGTAGATTACGGAGACAATTGACCATTCTAATTGTGGCTTAAGGTGAATCCAAACTTCCTCTCAGATAATAAAGCCTTTTTGTAAAAGGAAATGGCAGTTGAAGGAGAGAAATATGTTTACGAAAGGGGAACAGCCAGACTGGTCCAAACAGCCATATAAAGAAAGACAACCACAAAGTGTGTTGAAAGGAGGTCTTAGAGACCACCATTGAGGAATAAGGGTCTTGAAGAGGCTACTTGAATGTTAAAGAGTCAGCGCCTGTGCCAGTCAGTAGATGTATGAAAATGAGCGGGATGTGCTGCCTCTGATCAGATAGATGTTTATTGAAAGTATACAGAAATTATTGAATGCATGGGCACTTTGTGAAACCTGTACCTTCAGCGAGACTTCCAGAGTCTACTAGATCTTGTTCATTGATGGCTCTCACAGTGCTGGAACATATTTCTCAATGAATATTCTGATTGAAATTTATCACTTCATGTAACCTTTTCCTATTAAGAAAAAAATTATTTTCAGATTGTATTAGTGATTTAACAAATCTGACTTGTTGGTTATAAAGGGTATGTTAGTAAAGTTATAAAGATTATGTTGGACTATTTGATAGAAACTCTTACAGATTTTCTCTTTTGTTCTACTTTAAGTAGAATTGTGGTTCATTTTGAGATAATCTTTTACCTTTACACTCTTATTTTTCTTCTGGGTGTAATGATTGACATTGGCTTATCACCTTTACCTTAAAATTAGGCCATGGTGAGAAAGAAAGCTGCTGAAAATCTGTTTATAACGGTTTATTATAAACATGAAAAAAACTCTTAACAATAGACAAGCAGGTAAATAGCAGCCCAGAGATAAGGTATGCAGTGTGGGAGCTCTAGAAGAAGGTGATAAAAGGTTTGGAGTTTGTTTTGTTTTTCTTCTTTGCAGTACTGACAGTCAAAACAAGTGCTCTGTTGTTGAGTTATAGCACCAGTCTTTCCTCCTCCTCTCCCTCCTTTCCTTCCTTCCTTCCTTCCTTCCTTCCTTCCTTCCTTCCTTCCTTGTTTTTTCTTTCTTCTCACTGTGTAGTTCAGGCTGGCCTTGAACATGTAATCATCCTGCTTTATCCTCCCCAGTAGCTAGAATTACAGGCATGCACCACCACACCAGGCTTTCCTTTGGGATTTTTTTGCTCTCCCCGCCCCTTCTTGTTTTTGTGTTTTTAGACAAAGGGTCTGGCTATGTTGCCCAGGTTGGCCTTGAACTCAAGGGCTCATGTGATCCCTCTGCCTGAGCCACCCACGTAGCTGGGACTCTAGGGCATGTACCACCATGCCCAGCTTGAAGGTTGATTCAGAAAGATAAAGATCAAAGATACCAGAAAAGCCTTTGAAAGTAATTTCTTAGAACAAAACACAAGGGCTGGGGAGATAGCTCAGTAGAATAAGTGCTTGCCTGGCAAGTGCAGGGTCCTGAGTTCAATTCCCGGTACTGCAAAAAAAATGAAAAGAACAAAACACAGATTTTTTTTTTTTTTTTTGTAACAAAAGTGACTATTGCCCAAGTGACTGCATGAGCTCAAAAGCCTTAGCCTGAGTTGGTTGGACAGAATATCTTTGTCATCAGCTTGAGTAAAGCATGCTGTGATTATGTCAATCATAGCCATAAAGTTAGAGAAGTAGGA